AAAAAGGAACCCTCCTTCACTGCTGGTGGGAATGCAGACTGGTGCAGCCACTATGGAAGACAGTATGGAGTTTCCTCAAAAAGTTAAAAATGGAACTCCCATTTTACCCTGTGATCTCACTTCTAGGAATATATCCCAAGAAACCAGAAACACCAATCAGAAAGGATATATGCACCCATATGTCCATAGCAGCACAATTCACCATAGCTAAGATCTGGAAACAGCCTAAGTGCCCATCAGTAGATGAATGGATTAGAAAACTGTGGTACATCTACATGATGGAATAATATGCTGCTGTATAAAAGAAGGAATTCTTACCATTTGCAACAGCATGGACGGAACTGGAGAGCATTATGCTAAGTGAAATAAGACAGTCAATGAAGGAAAAATACCACATGATCTCACTCACTCATGGATAATAAAGACCATTATAAACTTATGAACAAAAATAGATACAGAGGCAGAACTGCCTCAAACAGACTGTCAAACTACAGCAGGAAGGCCGGGGAGGGTTGGGGGGCAGGAGTGGGGGTGTAAGAGATCAACCGAAGGACTTGTATGCATGCATATAAGCATAACCAAAGGACATAAGACACTGGCGGGTAGGGGAGGCCGGGGGATTGTTAAGGGCGGGAAAAAAAAGGAGACATATAAAAAAAAAGTTGACTTTGCTGGGGATGGATCTCAGAGGCCTATTTCCTACACTGCAAAACTGTCCCTAAGCAGAACCTCACTTCTGTGACTCCTGTCAGGAGCCATCGTTCTTTTATTTACTTTTAAAAATACTTTTTGTTGTTGTTAATCCTCACTGAGTGTATTTTCCCATTGATTTTTAGAGAGAGTGCAAGGCAGAGGGAGAGACAGACAGAAACATCAATGTGGGAGAGAGACATTGATCTGTTTCCTCCTGCACACCCCAACCAGGGCTGGGGAACATGCAACCAAGGTGTGTGACCCTGATCAGAATCAAACCCGGGATCTTTCATTCTCCAGGGCAACACTCTATCCACTGAGCCTCACAGCCAGGGCAGGAGCCATTGCTCTTTGTTGACTAACCACTGGGGTCACTTTAGAAGGAAGAGCTTCTATCCACCCACCTGGGCCATTTGGTGTCTCAGCTGCTCCTGCCCCTGCCTGCTCCCTGCAGAGATGCCCCCTAGTCCCCATCTCCCTGTGCTCAGGGTGAGGCACCTCATCAGGAGGCAAAATGCAAGCCTAGGCCTATGTCCTTCCCCTGTGGGTCCCCTGAACTGAAGACTCTCACCTATGCCCTCTGCTTCCAGGTTCCCCAGCTGACCAGCTCTGGGGGCACATGGTGTGTGTCTGATACACAAGCACCTGGCCTGTGACCCCAGAACATGGGACGAGGCTTCTGTCTTCTTCACTGATTTGTCCTTGTTACCTAGAGGGACCCTGGTGTGCCATAGGCCCTCAGTGTTGGTGGAATAAATGAATGAATGAAAGAAATCCAATCAAGTGATGTGGGTAAACAGGCTCTGAAATTGGTGTAAGATCCACATCGCCCACACCCAAGGGCCCACCTCTGAGCACCCTTGTCTGTGGTCCCTGCCTTGGGTTCCACTTGCCCAAGGACCAGACTCTGGGGAAATCTGGCTGCATAATTGGGGTCTGTGCCTCAGCGGGCTGTGCACACCCAGAGCCTTATATCAGTGAGTGATGCTCAGGCAAATGCCAGGTGTGGATTCCTGTGTAAATACAAACTCCACTGGGGCTGCAGAGCCTGCTGAGTCTGGCTGACCCAGGGACATGGCTGTCTCCCTCCTCCTATTTCTTCCCATCCTGGGGCTCCCCTGGGGTCAGTGTCTGGGGACCTGGCAGATCAGAGGTTTTCACAGAGATGTGTACTTATTAATCTTGTTGCTTCCTTTTGTCCCAGGTGCAGCTGCAGGAGTCGGGCTCCACAGTGGTGCAGCCCTCGCAAACCCTGTCCCTCACCTGCGCCATCTCTGGGGACAGTGTCTCCAGCAACAGTGTAGCTTGGCACTGGATCAGGCAGCCCCCAGGGAAAGGGCTCTAATGGCTGGGAAGGACCTATTTCAGATCCTAGTGGTGTCATAGAAGACCGGAGAAAAACAAAGCAATGCTTAGAGAAATAAAGTTACACAGCTTTATTATGCTGGCAAACTCAGAGGAGATATATCTCAAATTCTGGGAAAAGCATTCTGGTGGAAGATGTTCCTTTATATCTTTTTGGCTTCTTTGTCCCCCAAATATGGATGGGACTCCAAGACCTTCCGGAGGCTTTGAAAAAAGCCCCGTGTGTGAGGATAGGGGTCGTGGTACCATACCTAAGGGCCTGATCTTGTGCCAGCACTGGAAGAAATGGGATGCTAACCCCTTGGTCATCTCTTATCAGCAGGAAGCAGCTATGAGTGGTCGTCGTCCCTGTTCATCATAACATCAGTAGTCATAGTCGTAATCATTGTACCACAAGGCTAAGAAAAACTTGTGGGACAAGGGAGGGAATGAGAAGGCTAATGGTTAATTTTTTCTATAACATCTGGTTCCCTCTAAGGGAACTTTCCTCAAGCGGAACAATGTAACCCTCTCCAGGGGTTGTTGTTTTTTTTTTATGATTTATGGCCTCTGTAACATGTGAGCAAACAGGCAACAAATCTTGCTAGCCCAGACTGCAGTAAAATGGCCAATAGGTTATATTTTCCCATCTGGGTTACATTGTTCTTCTTGAGGAAAGTTCCCTTAGAGGGAACCAGATGTTATAGAAAGAATTA